TGTATTAATATATTGTAATATGCTAAAAATATTGTTTGTTTACTACAATTTTGAATACACAAACATTAATTTAGTAAATTGATTACAATATTATTAGAGAAATAAAAACGATTTATTCGAACTTTGTGTCTTAGAATATGCAATGTATACATTAACTAAATAAACTGTATAAAAATTGTTTTTCTCTTCATTTAATAAATAAACTTCTAGAATTATTATTATTACAATTTATGTTACACTTGTAATTACAACGATTTTTACAGGGTAAGATTAGAAACAAAAATATATAAATATTTCATTATTTAAAATAATCCATTTGTTGAGATCATGTCATCTATTACTTTGCACATAATACGGTCACTTGGACTACATGGATCAGGAGTTTGTTGCTCAGAACCTAGACTGTCAACACATTCCATGGCATCTGTATTTATTGCTAACTTGGAATCAAGTTCTGAAGTGTCTGGTAACATTTGCAATGCGTGTTGTAAAATTTCTTGAACCTATACAAAGTAATAGCAATTGCCATTAATCGCAACATCATTAACTGTACAAAGTATAAAGATCATACTTTTTCTAAATGTTTTTGAAACCTAAGTGCTGTTTCAATACGTTGTCTACGCTGTAATTCCATCATCACTCTTAGGGTTTCCCTTGCTTGATGCGGTCTGAATTCATTTAACAAGTGATGAATGTGAATGAATAATAAACTAAGATCTTCCACCTGCAGATATTAGTAACCTTTACTGTGTAGTAATAATAATATTTATATTATAAAATACTTACCTTCTCTGCACGTCTTGGACTATCAGGACATTGTACAAGCAAATCTATCAAATCCAAAAAATTAACAAGTAGGGAGTGATTCAATTTCTTCAACTCCCGTCGTCGATCGAAATGCTGTGGGTATAATCTTTTAATTCCCTGTGCTTCGAGGGGTCTAATGATCGTGTCGTCCGCGTTAAATACATTTCCAAACATAGAATAAGTATCGTGTATCGGTGGAGGTGGTCGTGGTGCTCTACCTCGACGAACATTTTCGTCTGTGTATAAATTAATATATTGAACTGGTGGTAGAGGAAGCGAGCTGACTTGTATCGCCTCTGGGGCTGCCATTCTGGACGTTCAGTTTGAGTGTTGTTAAGAAGCGGTAAAGTGTAATTTTTCTTGAAGCAACAGCCTCTTCGAAGATGCACACTAGGTTAAGTTCAACTGAAGGAAACACTGTTGTCAAACTGACTGGAGTGTCGAAGTTAGTGCGCAGGTCCGTAATTTCGCGCGTAGACGTCACTTTTTTTTTTACACAATTTACATTCTACTCATATAATATTCATAATAATCAAGAACAGTAGTCTATAATACGACTTCAAAAACAACATCTATATATTACAAAGTTGAACCGTAGAATCTAACGTCACTTTCGATGCATCGATACTACAAGCTAGGTTATATTAACGTGGTTTCACAATCTTTTCGACGTACTTGTTTATTTATGTTCCATTATTCGGAAACGTAAGATTAATCACAGTGTTTCTATGCACATCTCGCGAACTTTTTACCACGAATTAACTAAAGGCAAATATCGTGCAACTAAAACAAAACAACATGTAACGTAGCCTTCGAGTCCGCCATCTTGTTTTTTTAAAATGAGTCAACAGGTATTCTCTGCTGGCCAGTTAATACGTTAATGCCAGCAGGACGTCGAACCCAGATTGGGGATTTTCGTTGTTTAACTAGCAAAACGAAGAAGTCGATCTGTGGATATTGTTTGTTTTCTGTTTGGAATATCGTTCTCACGACTTCACGGGCTTTCGGATAAATGCTTTACTAACGTAGTGAGGTATTTCCTGCTATCTCGTGAATTTCCAACGTCTTCGTTTGACAGATTGTCGGTGTGTGTATGCGTTCGTTCCACGTGAATTCTTTGTTTGGGCACCGGTCATGTTTCTGACAAGCATTGAAATTGCGAGGTGGTAGCAGTACCCTGGTGCATGGTAAGTCGATTTTCTGTTACGAATTCCGCCCGTATCAATGTTATTCCGGCTAAACTTTCACATAGGAATATTCATATAAGCCGAGTATCAGGATAACCACAAACTATCGCGTTGTCGTTGATCTCGCTGTTCTGTTATTTTTGGTAATTTCGAGAGGAATGCCTCTACGATTCTTCTCTCATCATTCCCTTCGATATTTGCAATTGAACATTTGCATGGTGATTCAAGTTTTTCGAAAAATCCTACACTATGAGTGAAACAAAGAATAGAATTCGATTTGAAGTTCGTACACGATTCGTATAGTGTTCGTATCTCCCTATTGAGTTTCACATAAAAAAAGTTGCAGGCTGCATCGCCAAAATTAGACGCATTTGAATGTGCCTTTATTTTCACGAGAATTGTAAACAACGCGACATATCTTTTGTATCGAACTTTCGTACGATGCAACGAAAATTCTATGAAAAAATTGTAAAATTGTCTACCGACGTTTCTTTGAAAATTATTACAATTAAGTAGAAGTATTTAGATATCTACTTAACCATAGAAATACGAGTGACAGTGTAATAAAGCATTCGTTCTTTCGCTGTAATGTAATCTAGCCTTTATAATGGAAATTCATATGTAATACTATTGTACGTCACGTTAGATATTACGTTTTCACATGTCTGTCGCAGTGAACGCCATTATTTTTCGATAATAGCTATACACCGGCTCTTACAATATTTACGATACACGCGTGCGTAATGTGTATTTATTTATGGTTAAAGTGGTCGGATTGGTAGAAGGTTTTTTGGCTCTCGAGTTTTGTTACGGGAACGAAAATGGTCTAGGGTTGTCTCATGAGAACGGGACCGAAGGTTTTCAGCTCGATTCTCCGGCTCTCTATTTTGAATGGAAATTCTTCGCTGGCGAGTCACGCTGGCTTTAATGGAGGTCCAGAATATCCCTAAAACCTTTATATCTTGATCTCCGTGAACGTTTTAAGTATTTCTTTCGTTCCATCTCCCTTTTCTCTACGTTCTAAATACTTTTTTTTCCCTTCGTACATACGTATAGGTAAAATGTTTCACGTTTTTTTTTCTTCTTTTTATTCTCGACTTTATATCATCGTCGTAAATTTCCCCGAAATGACACGTCGATATTTTTCGTATCGTCGAATAATATCCACCGCGAATTACGGGCTGAGGATTAACGTCGTGGAATAATTGTACGGGAATTATTAATAAAAAAATTCGGCGTGTAAAAGAAGATCGATCAATACATGCTCGGATAATATATATCCAGATTGACCGTACGCGAAATTCGAACTATTGGGGATAATTGAAAGTTCATCGCGGGACTCGCGTATAATTAGTCTTCGTGCAACTTGTGCCAGAGTGAAAACTTGGAGGAACGCTGCAGGTCGTTCGCAAAGAAGCGAAGAATTAAGCGTTTCAATCAATCCGAGTAACACGTAAATGCCTTTAACGATGCAGCATACTCGTCGGGCATCGTCGTATCGCGTCGAATCAAACTTCAAATACAGCGAAAGAATTCCTCGACTTCCCAACCGATTATTGCCCGATTAGTCATGCGAGTTCCTCTTTACCGTCTTCCAAATTTTTCCTCAACCAGGATAGCAATAATTTCACGTTACACTTCATCGTCGATCTTTCAATTATCATACTCGCAACACCCAGATCATTTTTCCCAAAAATTTCCAAACTAATTTCAATCCTCCCACTCTGTTTTACCACCTCTCACCTCACGAACCTAATTGATACATACGCTGCGACAAAAGAATTACGAGCAACGAATCGCCTGTGACCAATTCCGTACTCTCTGTCAGACAAGCGATTTTCATCGGCGTCGTCCATCACGCAGTATCGACTTTTCACGTCGCCACCGGTGACTAATCGATACTCTGTCGACACAGTGTCGACGGTGGCACACAACAGGTCGTTCTTTCTGTCACCAATTCGTAATTCGTGATTTTCATTATCGACTTTTCACGTCGCCACCCGGTGACGAATCGATACTCTGTCGACACAGTGTCGACGGTGGCACACAGCAGGTCGTTCTTTCTGTCACCAATTCGTAATTCACGATTTTCATTATCGACTTTACACGTCGCAACGGTGTGACCCCGGTCGACACTCTGTCGACGGTGGCACAGGGCAACTCGCACTCTGTCGACAATGCTTCGACGGTGGCAGCGGACGCGTTAACCCTTTCACCGCGACAGATTTTAATACGCAACGTACATCGGGTCGTATATCGTTTTGAAACTTCTTTCGTTAAATTTAAAGTGGAAGTGCGCAAAAGTTAAAATTGAGGCGCGCAAATGGTTAAAATTACAAAGGGTTAAAATCGGGGTGCGCGAAAAGTTAAAATTACGGGTTAAATTAAGGTGCGCAAAAGGTTAAGATTAAGGGTTAAACCAAGGTGAGAATTGAAAGAACCGAAGCTATCGAGTGAAGGTGATAAGTACAAAAAAACTAAAGCTGTCGAATCAAGGCGACAAATTTTCAAAGCGCGTACAGTCTCGCGGATAGCAACGACAAAAGGGTTAAGCAATCCTGCACACGTTTGCACTCACGCTGTGCCGCGTGAAATCGACGGTGGATAATCGAATTGTTACCATCCATATCCCCAGGGTGGCCCTCCATCGGGGATGGCGGGGAAAGATGGGAAGGTGGAGCCAAAAAGCGGGGACGTGGTGCGGCAGGGGTTCATGGTGAAGAGGTCCCAGAACAAGAAACGCTTCACCCCCGTCAACTACAAGCAACGCTGGTTCATCCTGACGAGACGCTACCTCGTCTACTACGACGGCGATGGAGAGGTACGTGGTAGCTTTTTGCCGTTTCGAGAAACGATCGAAATACCGACCTAAGTCTTTTTCCCCTAAGTCGTGCACCGCGCGCGCCATTAACGTTTCCTCTGTGCTCTGGGGGGGTCGCAAAAAAATTCGTTCCATTAGCGGGGTTGAACGAGAGAGAATACTCTGTCCAAATAGACTTGTAAGTTGTAATTAAACAGAGGACTTCTCCTTCGGGATGAAACATAAAATGTGGACAAATATAAATTAACCCTCTTGCTCGTGACGTAAAACGTGTCGTTGGAATTGTTGTTACACAGGAGAAGAGCAAGATGCAAAAATTGTGCCGAACAATTTCTATTCACCACATTTTTCCAGATATTCGAATGAAATTTAGATACGGCACCTAGAATTTTTCTCCTTTGAAAAGGATTAAAGGGTTAACTCCTCCATTTTGCAACATTGTTAATTTTCAAATATTCAAGAGAAACTCT